CTCTTGTAGCTCTTGGCAGCTCCTCCAGCTCACACACTGAGGAGAACAGCCCGCAACCCACACGGTTTCGTCCTTTCAACCCCTCAGTCCGAGCAAGTGTTTCGGTTCGCCGTCTCCCGGCAGCGCTCCGTTCTAGTGTCCTTTCAATCCTCGCGAGCGACAGTGTTGCCGTCGTCGACCCCCCCTCACCCAACATTGGCTCTAACGGACGGTCGCGGCGGACTGACGGTTGGAGGGCGCCCACGTGAGCCAGACCTGGGTTGCTCTCCTCACGCTCACGCACAGAGACGACCCAGGTACGCCGCTCTCCGTAGCTCTTGTGCTTTCCTCACACTCACACACAGAGACGACCCGGGCAACGTACACCTTGGGCCACTTTTCCAACGCGTCAGGCGAGTGTTACGACAACCCCCAGTTGCCCTTTCCAGAGTCACGAGGGGAGGTATTGGGCAGGGGATCACTTAATGTGAGAGGAAGTTGGGAGAGGAAAAATCCAGGTCAAGTCCGGCAGGTCAAGTGCGGCAGCTCAAGCAGCAAGTGTCAGGTTGAGGGTCCAGCCATGACATGCAAAATACGGCCACATCGCTCACCTGATATACATCCTTCCACTGAATTGATCCTGCTGATCAAGTTGTTCTACATGTTTGGCGCGCCGGCTTAGTGCCTTGAGTGCATTTGTCCGCGTGCATTTGTCCGCTGGAGGGTTGGCAGTGGCATCACAGACACTTTGACAGCACTGGCTGTCCCACTGATGCATTCTGCGTGTCCTGCGGAGAGTGGGTGCCAGCCAAGTACACGCACAGCAGGCCGGGCAATACGAGAGAGTGAGAACAGCAGGCACAACTGTAAATGTCCTAGGCAACATTCCCAGTGCCAGACACTGAGGTGCAATGACCCCATACAGGACACATTAAACTGTCACTGGCGGCAAGTGGGTTGACAGGAGCTGTCAAACACCTGTCAGTTTCTGGCTCAAGAATGTTGCACAGGAGTGACTTGGACTGGAGCAAAGGCAGTCTGACATACCAGAGAGCAGAGTGAAGGACGCAGGAGTGGGACAGTAGAGGGTCTCGGAGGGAAAGCAAGTGGCTCTCCCTCTACTCGGGAAGCTCGGACTGCGACGGCAAGTCTTTTGCAGGTGTACATCTGCCCACGGTGCAACCTTTGGAATGTGTGCCTGCAGAGTCATCTGCAGCATCACATAGACATGAGACTCTGACAGATGGGAGGCAAGCAAGAGGTATGACAGGCAGTTGCAGCCTTTGGACCGGACCGCATGCACCGGCTACTTGCGGTATAATGTCAAAACAACTCTCGTGTCCATCAAGCGGCCAGATGCCCGAGCGGTTAAGGGGATAGACTCGAATCAACTCGCCATCTATTAGGCTTTGCCTGCGCAGGTTCAAGTCCTGCTCTGGTCGTATCTTTTTTGCGGCGCTGTCCTTGGAAAGCGCTGTGGAAAATCTGCACAGTTGCCATCAACTGCAGCAGTCCTGCACTGGTGGGCAGCTGAGGCGGAAAGTTCCCAGAGCCCTCCCAATCCTTTCTGACCCCAATAAATGGCGTAGCCTGATATATAGTGCTAACACGGGCCTCCTGCTCATTACAAGGGGATCTAGCTCATCGGTAGAGCGCTCGCTTAGCACCTCGTGTGCGAGAGGCGCAGGGTTCGACTCCCTGGTTCTCCAATCTTTTTGTTGGCGGCTCCTGCTGCCAGCCAGGGCGCCGATCACTGGTCCAGGCAGGTGCAGCCCCACCTTTCCTGCTCTGCTGGGATTGGAGAGGGCAAGCAAGGTCGAAAAACGAGGGACAGACATGTACAGCACAGCAGGCAGTCTGGCCTCACCTTCTATCGCCTGTGTGCCTGCATGCCTGTTTCCCTGACAGATGCAAGGCGACAGGGACAGGCAAGAGAAACAAAAAAGTAGAATGAGCAGGTCCTGCGCAGGTGCTGCACAGCCAAAAAGTTCCCCAACCGGGAATTGAACCCGGGTCTTCTCGGTGAAAGCGAGATATCCTAACCACTGGACTATTGAGGAGTGCTGATGACTGGTGCCAAAGCAAGCAATAGATAGGATTTTTTCCCTTGCCCGATCAACACGACAGCGTTCATTCGGCGACCTCCGTATCGCCCAGTTCCTGGCACATGTAATGCGCTGCCCTGGCGCCCGAGTGCACTGCTCAAGCCCGCGTCCCACCAAATGAAACCAAATGAAGACAGGTCCACTCACACCCGTCGGAGGGCACCGCCGCACAACCCCCCCCCCCCCCTTTCTGACCCGCGTGCTAACGCGCCGGGAGAGGGCCGATGCGACTTCCCCTGCAGATCGCCCGAGCGTGCGTCCTTCGCAGCACTACGTGAAGCACGAGGAGCAACATGATTGCAGACGGAAGCGGCTGGCCGGGGACAAAGCGGGTTGAGAAGGTCGGCCTGCGTCCCTCGATGGGGCTCGACGCTCAAGGGAGGGCCGAGGTGAGCGTGCCCCACCTCGCACTCTCGCCACACACTTCGTGTCTTACGCCAAGGCGCACCCGTTGCGATGGCGCCCAATCCGTGCATTGCCATCCCGCGGCCCTTGACGCGCCTCACACCTCCTTGCACTTGCTCAGCAAGTCCCGCTCCCACTCGAGCCACCCATCGGCATCGCGGCCCTCGACCTCGCGCCCTTCCTTCTTGGCCGCCTCCTGCGCCTTGATGGCCGCCTCGAGGAGGCTCCACTCGACGCACCCACCGGTGAACGTGTCGAGCAGGACCCCCTCCGCTGCCTCGACCGCCTTCGAGCTCTCCCCTGCTCCCCCGCCCCCTCCCCCGCCCTCTCCTGCACCCGCAGCAATCCCTTCAGCGGCAGTGTCCGCATCCGCCGCAGCCGCCTCAGCACCGACCGCCGCATGCGCCGCCGCCGGGTCGAGGACAAACTCGCCCTGGCGGGTGCGCGTGAGCTTGACGACGTGCGCGGCAGAGCCGAGCGCGATGCCGAGGTCGTGCACGATCGAGCGGACATACGTCCCAGACGAGACGGTCATGCGGATCTCGAAGAAGGGCGGGCGAGCTGGAAGAGGGAGCGTGTGGTGGGGTTAGCCCGCGCGAGGAGAGAGAGACGGGGAGACACGGGAGGAGGACGAGGAGCGTACCTGCTGGTGCTGAAGGGGCTGCAGGACCGACGGCCGAGGGCGCAGACGCGACCTCTTCCTCTGAGGGGACCTCTGTCCGGCCCTCCTTGACCATCTTCTCGAGCCGCTCGAGTTCCTTCTTGGCCGCGTCGTCGAGCTCCTCTTTTGGCCACTCGTAATCGTGATCGGACCCTTCGACGAAGCGGAGGAGCTCGAGCGAGTGCACCGTGACTTTGCGCGGCGGGATCGGTCGTGGGAGGGGGGTGTTGGTGCGCGCGTACTCGTACAGGGGCTTGCCATCCATCTTGAGCGCCGAGTAGCTGCGTGCGGCACCTATTGGTCAGTGCAAGCTGCGGAAGGAGGAAGAAGACAAGGCTGCGGACGCACATGGGCGGGGTCTGCTCGATCTCGCCTCGGAAGCTCGCCAGGGCCTCCTCGACGCTCTCGCGCGTGACCCCCTCCCACGAGCAGGTGCGCACGCGCTTGCCCTCCGAGTCGTAGCTATCGGTCGAGCACCCGACGAGGCCGATGGCGCGGTACTCCTTTGTGCAGTCGAGGAAGCGCGACAGGGACTTTGTCGCCGCATTGGTGCCGACGACTGCGCACGGGCCGGGCGCCGTCAGCAGGGCCTCTGCGCGCGCACTGAGAGGAGGGACGGGGTGCAGCGCACCGAGGACGCCGTCCGCGAGCGGGTCGAGGGTGCCGCCCTGTCCCATCTTGACCTGGTCGCCGCGGCCACGGCTCCTCTTGCCGCCTCTGCCGCCCCTGCCGCCCTTGCCCCCGTGGGAGGGCTTGTTGGGGTCGCGGAAGAGTTCTGAAGCGGAGAACAAAGGCTGGAGCTTGTTGAGGAGCTGCGAGGAGGGCGGGGCGGTGCTCGAGAGGTGAGCTCGCGAGGGGGACAAGTGAGGCGAGGGCGCACCTGCATGGAGGGGATCCCCGTGGGCTTGTTGATGGCGAAGAGGGCGCTCAAGGGCACCTTTGCAGCTTTGGGCATGACGGGCACGCGAGTAACGGGTAACGGGTCGACAGTGGACGAGGCAGTAACCTCGAGGACCTCTGCCTCTCCTCCTCACTCGACCCACGCCTGCCACCAGGCGAGTGCCGCTAGACCACGACACACGATGCAGACGCTCCGGGACAAGCAGCTCGAGCACTTGACCGCCTTGCTCCACCTCAACTCCCCCACCTCGTCGACCCGCACCAGCACCAACCCCAACAGCAGCCAGCTGCCCACGTGGAAGACGCTCGTCCTCGACAAGCAGGGCACAGACATCCTCTCGACCTCGCTCACCGTCCCCGCTCTGCGCGAGGCTGGCATCACCCTTCACCAGTGCGCTCCCCCTCCTGACGCGACACCAACCCCGCCCAGCCGTGGCCCGACTCGCGGCGTGCGACCGCGCGTCGAGGCCCCGGTTCGAGCTTCCGGGCCACACGCTGATCACTCGACGTGCTCGCAACTATGCAGGCAGCTCCACTCTGACCGACCTGCCCTCCCGGACGTCCCCGCCATCTACTTCGTGTCGCCTACGAGCAGCAACGTCCAGCGCATCGCCGCCGACCTTCGCAAGGGCCTCTATGCGAGCACCTACGTCAACTTTACCAGCGCGCTGAGCAGGTCCCTGCTCGAGGAGTTTGCAGAGACCGTCGCCAAGGATGGAACGGTCGAGGGCGTCGAGCAGGTGCGCGCGCGCTGTTCCCAAGCCACGCGAGCCTGTCCAGGGCGCTATGGCTGACGAGACGAATGACTCTGCGCCCCGAACAGGTCTACGACCAGCACCTCGACTACCTCGTCCTCGCGCCCTCGCTCTTCTCGCTCGCGCCGTCCCTCTCCACCCCGTCCCCCTCGTCCTCCTCTTCCTCTTCCACTGCCGTCGTGCCGAGCACGCCAGACCCTCGGACAACGTACGAGAAGCTCAACGACCCGCGCGCGGCAGAGGCCGACATTGAGGACATCACGGACCGGGTCGCGCGCGGGCTCTTTAGCGTCGTCGTCACCATGGGTGCGCCCTTATGCCCCCCTGAACGCTTCACGATAGTCTGTGCTGACGCGGCGCACGGGTAGGCCAGCTCCCGATCATTCGCGCGCCGCGAGGCAACGCGGCAGAGATGGTGGCGCGCAAGCTCGACTCGCGCATCCGGGACCACATGGCGAGCGCGCGGGGCGTCAACGCCTTCACTCAGGGTGGTGCAGAGGGCTCCTTTGGCCGACCGCGTGCGTGTCCTTTCGTTTGCTCTCGACCGCAGCGCCCGCGCTGACGAGACCCCGCCGTCGCAGTGCTCGTCATCCTCGACCGCAATGTCGACCTCGTGCCAATGCTGAGCCACAGCTGGACGTACCAGGCGCTCGTCAACGACGTGCTCGGCATGAAGCTCAACCGCGTCACCGTCGAGGTGCGCATCCCTCCCTCTCTCTGTTCACGAAGCGCGGGCTGACCTGCTCTACCGAGCAGGCTCCCGAGGGCGGCAAGATGAGCAAGAAGACGTACGACCTCGACGCCAAGGACTTTTTCTGGGCGAAGAACGCGCAGAACCCGTTCCCGCAGGTCGCGGAGGAGATTGACCTCGAGCTCAACAAGTAAGCGCCCCTCGGAGGGCCCCCGAGCCGCGAGAAGAGCCACTGACGCTTGCGGGTCCCGCGCAGGTACAAGCAGGACGCGAACGAGATCACTCGCTCGACGGGCGTCAGCGACGTGACCGACCTCGCCCAGGTGTCCGTCCTTCCTTGTGTCGAGTCTCCAGCTCGGGACGGTCCGCTCACTGCCTTGCTCACTCGCGCAGTGACCTGACATCGAACGCTGCCAATCTCAAAGCGGCCATCACGGCGCTCCCCGAGCTGACGGCGCGCAAGACGACGCTCGACACGCACATGAACATCGCGACGGCGCTGCTCCAGGGCATCAAGGACCGCGGGCTCGACACTCTGTTCCAGATGGAGGAGGCCATCACCAAGCAGGTGCGTCCACTTCAAGTCGCAGGCGCGAGGCAGACAGGGACGGAATCGCTCACACTCGCTGCTCCCCGATCACGCAGACGAAGCGCGACCTCCTCGAGGCAGTGCGGGACCCGTCCAAGCACAACCCAGAGGACAAGCTGCGCCTCCTCCTGTGCTACTACTTCTCGTCGCTCGCGTCAGGCTCCGACAAGGGCCTCTCGAAGGACGACCTGGCAGAGTTCGAGCGCGCGCTCGCCGAGACTGGGGCCGACATGGGGCCGTGGGAGTTTGCCAAGCGCCTGAGGGACGTCATGCGCATGTCGAGCCTCGGGGCAGCGCCGGCGCAGCCGGTGGCGGGCGCGGGCGGGGACCTCCTGCGCGGCTTCAGCTCGCTCTCGAACCGGGTGCGCTTGCTCTCTCGCGCCCGCCTTCTTCCGTGTTGCGCACGCGAGACTGACCAGAGCTCGCGACCCCTTCTACAGCTGACGGACCGCCTGCGCGAGAGCGGTGTCGGCGGCGTCGGGCTCGACAACCTCATCTCGGGCGTCAAGAACTTCCTCCCGCAGCGCAAGGACTTTCCCGTCACGCGGCTCGTCGAGGCGCTCATGGACCCGGCCTCGGCGTCGACGCAGGCGCTGCAGGACACGGACGACTACCTCCTGTTTGACCCGCGGTCGGGCGGGCGGAGCGCGCGCCCGGCGGCGGCGACCCAGGGCAGGGGGAGGCAGCAGTACGCCGACGCGGTCGTGTTTGTCGTCGGCGGAGGGAGCCTCGTCGAGTATGGCAACCTGGGCGAGTACGTCCAGCGGAGCGTGCCCGGCGCGCAGGGGGGCGCACCGGCGGGCGCGACGGGCGGCGCGGTGCAGGGCACGCCGACGCGCAGGATCACGTACGGCAGTACCGAGATCCTGACGCCGAGCGAGTTTGTCAAGGCGTTGGGCAACCTCGCGCGTGCGGGGTGAGCTCGAGGTCTAAGGAGGGAGCTCAGGAGGGAGG